GAGATCCTCATCCATCCCCGTTTCTAATTTAATTTTCTAACATTTTTACATATTTTACTAAAACTTCATGTACTTTGGAAATATTCTTTACTTCATGTATTTTCATTTCTGCAGCGCTTTTACAAAATTATTTTTTCCAATACTGTAAGCACATTTTTTAACTACAGATATTTTAATTTTATATTAAGTTTGTAAAAGATGATATATCATATCATGTCACCTGACACGACATGATAAAAAATAAAGTAGCCAATAAAGACTCATGTTCAAAAACAAAAACAGATGATAAGACTTTTTTATATTCAAAAATCAGATTTTAATGTTTTGTTAAGAAGTGTGAATCTTGTCCACAGAGAAAAAAAAGGTCATCAGGAATCAGAGTTATACAAAAGCTTCACATTCACCCTTTTAGTCTCAACACAGCCGATGTGAAACACTGTTTCAGGGCAGGCCGACCGTCTGTCAGGACAACAAATCCTGATCAATTGCAGCATTTCACACCAGCATTGCTGCTGCCTGCCATCAGTCTGCAGTAGTATAAAGCATGTAGTCAGAGCAGAAAAGCTCAGAGTGGAAAAACACACCAAATAAACTCTTAGAAAAACACTCTGAAATAATATTAAGAGGAGTAACGAACAGAAAAGGAACATTTGGCCCCATGAGGATCCACTGATCCGTCATGTCTGCATTTCATCCGACACCACATTTAAAATAACAAAAAATTTGATTATCCTGCTCATCTTCCTTGAGCAGCTGAGATTTGGCATTTTTCTTCAGTGACTATTTGGTCAGTTTGTTTGTTATTCCCACTTCTCTCAGCAGTCGTTGGTCACTTCTCCCACCCTCTCTCAATCTGTAATCAATACGGGCTGATCCGTCAGAGGACAAAGACCAGGACTCATCTGAACAGAGACAAAGATAACACCAATCAGACTGACTGTAAATCAAAGTCAGCAAAGTTCAGACTTTGGAACAATTCCAGTCAGCATCTCTGGATTATTTAAATAATCAAACTGTTCAAAATAATCAAATGTATTTATTTATTCTTTTGACAACTTTGTGTTTTCATGATTCTACGTTTTTTACTTTTGCTGATGAACATCAGATAAAAAATAAAAATAAACTTTTACTGGTATTAGCCTTAAAATCAGGTTCTGGTTCTATTTCAGCGTTACTGCTGTTGCCTGTTAACCTCTGACCTGCGGAGGCTGCGAGATTCGTACAGCGTGTCGTCCTCTTCGCTGTCCACCGCATCCATCTCCACAGCATCGTCCTCATTGGACAGTAGACCATACTTCTTTCTGTGGGTGGGCTTCTTCAGCCTGACGACATCATCACAAAACAGACATTTACTATTAACTCGACGCCACTGTGCTCCAAACAGGTAGTTGTAATGTACAGCACTTAAACAAAAACACGGGTGAATTATGATATTTATGAACTGAATGTGAAATGTTAGGAGAATGACATTCTTAATGTAAAGGCACTTAAACTCAGAACAAGGCCAAGTGACGGCCAAAACAAATCGAGACACTGGTAGACCAGGATTAGTGTTAAGTGTTACCTCCTGAACCGCACAGTGAGTCCAGCAACTTCACACAAACGCATGACTGACACTCTGCACAGGTGTGTCACATCACTAATATGAGACAGAGCTTAAAACGACTGAATTTACAATGACGTTTGGTGTGACATCACTCAGGTGGGAACCAAACCTGTGATTTCATATGAACACCACAGCTGCTCTAAATGATGGGAGAGACCAAAGGCCAGCAGCCTGTCACTAAACCTTCAGGCTGATGAAGTTCAGACTGAGGTTACACAATATGTCCAACTGGCTCTGACTCACTGACAAACTAATGGCGGGACTGAAGAGTGACCACTAAAAGGCTTGCTCTAGTGTAAGTTTAGAAATTGCCAATCCTCATATGTGGACAAACATTAAGCCACACTATTCACAGTTTTAAAGTTTCTCCGCTTCTCAAGTTGAGGTCTCACGTGACTTCCTAAAACTGCAGGAGCTTCCGTTTGGCTTCTGTAAATATTTTTTATTATTTGTACCAGTTGGCCCTCGATTCTGACTGCATAGCCAGGTTTGCTGACTTCAAATTAAAAACGTACTTCTCACCAAAGACTACGTCGGATGAAACGAGAGGCCAAGTTCCACCTACTGTTATCCGAAACGGTTACACTGAGAGAAGTGACAGGAGTTTGGAGTGTATGCCGAACTAAAAATGGTTACTAAAACATAATGCAGGACTTATATATAGTCATTTACAACACATAAAAACAGCTTATACAAGCGGAAGTTTTAAGTTGTTAGATTTATGGAGGGAATTCGGCTTTATGTATGTTACTCTATTCTTACTTTTGGATTTCTCTAATAACTTGTCAGATACAGTAATATACACAACCGTGTACCCCGAGAATGCAATCTAAGTCAAAAAGCTAACAATAAACGTGCAGCACCTTATAATCAGCAGACTCCATTCATAAATCCAGTTTTTTAAACTTTCTTCGCTTCTCAAAAGTTACTGAAGTACTGTAAAGTGATTTTTTGAAGCTGGAAAATGTGCTCTTCAATTCGGCTTTCACCTGATCCGTAAATATTTCTAATTATTTTGGACATTTTAGGCCGAAATTGTGACTGCGTAGCGACTGTAAGAAGCATGGTTATTGTTCTTGAATTAAATTGTAGTTCTCACCGCACGGCTCGGATGAGGAAGTAGAGGACGCCGATTATAGTGATGCCAACGAGGACGTAGAGGGCCCTCTGGATCATCGAGCTGTCCACGTTGAAGGTATTAAGCGGACCCTTGCTGGTGCCGTTTATGGCGTTAACCCTGCTGGAGTTCGTCGCGGTACGAGTTTCGGTGCTGTTCTTCACCTCCTCCGCCACGGACAAGAGAACCCAGCATACCGATACAAGAACCGCTGAGAGACTTCGATAAAAAGTCATTTTATATTTGAAAACTCTCAAAACAAAAAATAAGAAAGGAAGCTTAACGACTTTCGAAGCGGTTCGGAAGCAGAGTCCCAGATACACGTAGCGTTAGCTAAACTCTACCGCCACACTGTTGACAATCCCAACAAGGAAGTTTACGTCCAGCAAGGGTGGACGTCACAACAAAGATGGAGTCGCAGTCGTAGGGCCGCACGTTACCGCTCACCGACCAATCATTGCAAACCAATCCGCAGGAGGAGGCGCGGGTTTTACGCAGCACTGTACCACAAAATACACCAAGAACCCAACACTTTAAAAATTATACAAATATAAAAATGGACGCTAAAGTTTTTTTGTGTTTTAGATTGTAATTTATTTTATTTCTAAGCATTTATACTTCATCTAAGCTTATTTGTTATACGTTATGTTTAATAGGCTGCTGTAACAAGTTCTAGGATAAATAATGTAACCTGTATCTTATCCTATCTCACAAACCTACAAAGGGACTCAAAAAGAACCAGTATAACACAAATTGATCACTGATGAGTATAAAGACACGCAGACACACAACAAGGATACAAAACCAGCTGTTGTCACTGTTCTCACACTGTTGTCTGAGTCACTGAATGTAATCCAGAGATTTGTATTAAACTTGCTGGTTCATGTGAACTTTTATACTGTTTACAGTGTAGTTTTTATTTGTTTAATCAAATGTGACAATGATAGAAACACACACACACACACACACACACACACACACACACACACACACACACACACACACACA